CCTATACCTACTGATGTCAGACAACTATCAGAATGAGACTGCTAAATTACTTTTTAAAAATTTAACGTCATAAAGCCTTTTTATTGGGTCAATAAGTAATTTTTTTCATCCCTAGATCAAATGAAAGGACCTTGCCTCTAACTTTTCTAGCATTTTAAATTGCCTAGCATTATGCTGTACGTCAAGCGATGCATTAGTAAAAGTGTAATAATTTTACTAAGAACTAAAATCAGAAAGTAATGCACAGCAATCATAAATGTTATATATATTCATATGTTTTTTATATATTCATATGTTTTTGTCTGCCAGACTCTGCCTTGAATATCACTCTAATCATACAGAAAAAAAATAAAATGAGTCTGGCCATGGTCTGGCACCGCCCATAAAAACACGTGCAACCATGCACGTGGAAACGCGCCCGCACCCACCGGCCGTCTGAGCAGAACAATGGCTATGGCAAGTAGAAGCATAGGCAGAGTGTTTCGTTTAGGTAAGTTAAATAAAACAGAAAGTGATATTATGACTAATTGCATGTTGACTGGTTGTATTTATCATAGATATCAGTCACTTAAAGTTAGTAAGAGATGCTTTGAAGGAAAGCCACTTCATTGATGCTAACTGGTTTGATCTTGGAGTGGAATTAAGCCTGCCTTATTCTGATCTGGCAAACATCAGAGCTAAATGGTCAAGTGATCCTTCTCAGTGTTTACTAGAGTGTTTGAGCTTGTGGTTGACTTCAGCTAATAATCGTACTTGGGAATCGTTAGCTAGTGCACTTGAGAGAATGAATCAAAAACCAGCTGCTACACTCATCCGTAATGCATGTAAAGTTCACATACAAACAGTACATACAATTGTCATATAATAAATCATTGATGCAAAGTTTTCAAATCTATGTATAACTTGTAGATGATGATCCTGCTAGCCAGATATTCCAGCATTACAGTAATAGAATCTTGCTAGTATCTCTCACTGATAGTTGTATCCAGTTGTTATGTACAGAAGGATTAATCACTGAAGATACGCAAAGGAAGATTGAGAGATGTGGGGGCTCATTAAGTGACACATTAAGAGAATTAATGGTTGCAGTAACTGATGATCACAATAAGCTAAGGTCACTAGGAAATATATTAATGGAATTAGAAGAAACTAAACCTCTAGCTCAAGATATTATCAAAGATTGTGGTAAAACCATCTTATTCAATTCAAAATAAAATTCATTTTAAAAAATTTAGATGAATTATTTCCTGAAGTTGATAATATTCAAATAAATGAATCTTTGCCTAATGCACCATCAGGTATAATAATAATGTGTAATATAATAATATTAATTTTATCAATAGTCGAAGAAGTTTTTGTTAGTGAAGTGTACAATTGTCGTTTTGATGAAGTTCGTGTTAAGTTTGGTGATCTTCGCTATAGCATAATAAAACTAGTCGTGGAGAATGTACCTTCAGCTTGTAATATCAAGGAGTACCTTTCTTGTTGTTTTCCTGAAGTGAAGAAAGAGCTATCATCTGTTGATACAGTGAAGGAAGTCATGAATATTGTTGAGAGCAGATGCAATATTATCAATATAGTACCAATAAAAGCTATCGTTAATAAGTATCACATTACTGGTGCACTCAAGATGATCACTGAGTTTGAAGAAGCAGTCGATGACTTTTGTTCAAAGATAAAGGTCAAGTTCATGCTCAACAAGAAGCTGTCACTAGCTGTCAGTTCCCTTGTGAGAGAGTGGAGTTTGTACTGCAATGGGAGCCTGATGAACATACACTTGATGACATTAGACGTCTCTTAGAGAAAGCATTTGAAGACTTGGGCAAGAGGATTATCGTACGAAGCATTCATCGTGGGAACTCCATCATTATTGTCTGTTATGCTCCACATCATTTACTAGCTGCTCTTTATTTGGAAGCACAAGAAAACCTAACTGTCTTGATCAAGGAATTCAGTTTAATTAGACTAACCATTGGCCACTACACTGTGTATGATAAAAGGATCAGATACAAAGTATAAGATACTGTAACTATATGAGACTTTGCATGTTAATACTATGTACTGATTATAGGTAATGAATAATGAGTGTCTTGCAAAGGAGATTACACTAGCTAATGAAGAGGAACAAGAACTGGAGACTTTACTTGATTACAAAGAAAGTATGTGAGTTAATCTATTACTCAGTTAATGTGATGTTTCTTATACTAATGGTATAGGATCAATATTTGAACAAGACAAACAACTGAATATCATCAAAAAAAGAAAAGGTATTGTCAGTGAATGATGCCAGGCCCGTAGCCAGGGGGGGTTCGGGGGGTTCGGACGAACCCCCTGTTGTAGCTGCAAAAAAGTTTTAGATTAGCTCCTGTCATGAAGAACAGCACTGCAAAAGCAGGATTAGCATTTTGGCAGCAGCGAGAAGCACAGATAGCCATTTTAGCTGAGTCAGCACATGGCTGAGATGCGTAACTCAAGACCACGCCTACCGACCACGCCCATTTTGTTAAAAAAATTTTGCTGCGCGCTTCGCGCGCAGCAATTTCCAAACCCCTTGTTTCAAGTTCCTGGCTACGGCCCTGGATGCAGATAGTTTATTAAGGTATTATTACTTGTATAGAGTACTTTGAAAGGACACTACAGACACCAGGTATAGTGCTAACATAAAGCATGTATTAAAGTATTGTGCAGTTGATAATCATTTGAACAATCAGTTTACAATTATCTTATAAATTAATATTCTCTTGTGTCATTACTGCAGGTTTAGACTCTATACATGTATAGAGTCTAAACCTAAAGTAAAGCTACTGACTAGAGGAAAGTTGATAAATAAAACATTTAAATCAAAGAAATCAGATACTCAGTATTTCCAAACCTCTCTCCTAATGAAAGCAGGTACTGACTTTACTTGCATAATCTGTCTGTATACTACCTTATCACAGGAAGAGAGGAGGCATTAGTGGAGCATAAGAAAGTGATTGAGTTACTACAAGAAAATATATCAATCACTAGTATACAACTGATGATGAGTCAAAAGGCAAATATTCATAGTATGAGATGATTATAAAAAGGCTGATTCACACATGAAACTTCAGTTAAAACAGAAGTCCAATATAAAGCACTGGCCATAACTTAAGGCCTTACCTTATGTAATATTTCAAGTGTGAATCAGCCTTAAGTTGAATCATTAACTGATTAATATTATTGTATAGAGAAGGACCAGTGTACACAATCACCAAAATCTATTTATACAGCACGTATTGACTATCATGGAATATGGAGGAATGTTGACCTTTCATTTCGTGAGGGACAGCAGCTGGAGATATTTGAGAAGGGAAGTACTTTTTGGTGGAAAGGAAGATCTTTGTTATGTGGTGACGAGGGAGACATTCCTAGTAGTTATGTCTACTCAATGTTGGAGTCACTTCAATTGTTAGAGTTTATACTGTCAATTGAAGAAGTGTCCCTTCCTATTCTACAAAAAATAAGGAATGATTCATCTAGTAATGATGAGAAAGCTTTTCTTTTCTTTGAGGCTATTAATAATGATCTTGTTATGATATCTGCATTGAGACAAGACAAGGAACAACATGATAAAGGTTTGTAATTATTGTTACAGCCAGCATGATGCGAGACCTATGTACACACAATTTGTGTATACTGTGTGTGTATTTGTTTTTCTTTGGTTGCATGTAGTAAAAGTTATGCTTGTATACACATAACGTGAATAATTGTGTTACTATATGCATAAATAATGATGTATTATATCCTTTGGTTTTATTAGGAGTCACTGGGAGTGTGTACTGGGAGAGTGATAGCGTATCTCTTTACTCTCCATCTCCAGCTCAGTGTAATGAAGTGATCAGTAATACTAATAATAATCATAAGAAGGTTGAACTCAACTACTCATCTACTCACAGTACCGTATCCCTACTATCGTCAACTGAACTGCATACACTACACCTGAGAAAACTCAAAATACAGTATACTCCATTAACTAATGATTGTATCCAGTACTTGTGTATACTACTAACTAATAATAAAACAATACAAGAACTAGACATCAACCGACACTCCATTAGTGATAGAGGAGTTACTAATATCTGTCAAGCACTTGAACACAACTCTACACTTACCTTACTAGGTCTCAATAATAATCCACTAATTACTTCTACTAGTGGGGAGGCTCTTTCTCACCTTCTCCTCAATAACTCATCACTAGTTGAACTGAATGTAAGGTGGACTTCATTGTCTACTGAGTCAATAGTACTCTTTCTCCAGTCATTAAGGTACAATAAAACTATAAGAAGATTAATGCTGGACAATCGGCACCAAGAAACTTGTATCAATACTTATCCCGACTATCACCTCAATACCTCATACAAGACAAAGTAGTCTGGAGGTACTAAACACTTTTAATATCTTATGCATCTTCACCAAAAACGATCAGAATAAACTATGTATAAGTTATTGGACTTAATATGTGTCTTTGTGAACAATAATTTACGTAGAGACGTGGACCAAACTCAACTATAATTATTTTTGAAATTATAATTTGACAAGCCAAAATAGGTATAATATTGTTCTCACAAATATTTTCACTCATAAAGTATTGATTTATTATTTACATCTCAATTTTCCAGAAATAAGAAATACACATACATGTACCTTAGAGTAATAGTGATACATTGCAATTATTATTATTATTATTATTATTATTATTATTATATTAATGAATGAATCCCAGTTACAGCTTTTGTTTTTAAATGAATGGGAAAAAAAGATAAAATCCACTGCTGGAAATTTTATATCAGACGACATTATCTAGTGCTGAAAAAGGTACAAAGGGGTGTGGTTAGTGGGTGTGTTCTTACCTGCTAATTGTTTGACTGATACTGTACATAAGTTGACACAAGTGCATAAGCTGACATTATACATAAGTATAGTAGGCAGAAAGTAACAAAAGATGCCTTGAACTTACATGTACATGTAGCTTCATTTTAGAAAGATCCTACATTACCACCATTGACCAGTGTCACAGGACCATTAGTGTGGAGCATACAGGCTCTATGATGATCACTTTTAACATAATAAAGGTATGACATTAGTTTCATGTCCAAAGTCTGAACTTCTGAAGTAGAAATGTTTCACTGATAGTGAACTGCCTGCATGAGGAGAGAATTGAAGAAACAGTTTATTTGAAGGGATCCATCAGTTAACATACCACATGTCTTTATTAATGCATTATCTTCTAATGATAGAGTAACACTAGGATCTTTTAAATTAGGTATAGCACTACAAGAGGGAGAGAGGAAGGGAGGAGACAAAAACAGTATACAATAATGATTTGCATGAAAGACCTGTATCCAGAGGTTCACGAAATTAATTTTTGCAAAATTCCACTATTGTACTATATTAAATTGATTTTCAAGGAATTTAATTTTGCAAATCTAAAAAATTCCAAAAATTTGCAAAATTTATTATCCTCAAAAAAACCAATTATACAGTACTTATAAAAATTTGAGATATGATACAGAAGAAAAAGGAAAATTACAACAAAAAAAGAGAGACAGAATAGAGAGAAGATGGGAAATGTAGGATAAATGTTACATTATTGGGGCAAGCTCCACTGTAGCAGGAGTCTTCTGTAAGTACGGTATGTATGTATGCGTGTGTCTTCAGTCACACCCATCTTCTGGTCATGCCCCATGTATGCACTACTATCTATTTATCTGCCAATGATCTAATGCAGTAGCATCATTCTAATGAAATATTGTAAAAACACATGTGCATGTATGAAGCAATAAGACCTCAACGACCCTGCTCAGGCTTGCTGGAATGAAAAAGATGCTCTTCTTCTTGCTCAGAGGGCTATGATGGCATCCCAGATTCAAAATTTAACTAGAAAAACAGCCTAGCTAGCAGCAGAGTCAGTGCAATACCACGACTGACTCAAGCTCACCACATTAATAGATTGCATCCGACTAGTTATTATAAGATAGTTTTGTACAAGTACACACAGGGCTTCCTACAAAGTGGGCTAAGTGAGCTATAAAGCATGCTTCATGTGCAGACACATATACCATTATGGCTTTTGGAACAATTTATCACAGAAAATCAGTTTTAAGTGAAACCAGCTCAAATTTTCTAGATACGGAATATAAGTATATCTACATTTACCAGAACAAAATTATAAAAATGAAGAAGTCTCTTGTTTTCAGTTTTGGTAAAAATTTGGCCAAAGACCATGTAGCTACATGTACTACAAACCATGCGTAAAGTAGTACGTGGATTTTGGCCTGATTATTGATCAAAATAATTTTTAAAAATATAAAAATAAATAGAATTAAAATTACCTAAAACTTCTACAAAACCAGGGGCGGATGCAGCAGAATGAAAAGGGGAGTTCAGTCAGGACGGCAGGGAGATACAGGGCGTGCGAAGCGCACCAAAATTTTGACCACGCCTCTTTTCCACGCAGAAACTCGTCCTTTTCCACGTATTTAACGAGCTCTAATTACACAATTATTGCTATGAAAAATTTAAATCTAGCATTCTACCTCGCATTCTACAGTTAGCCTACAGCTTAGGACTGAAAAGTGACTCTGAGAACTAATCAAAACTTTTAAAGTAAGCCAAAAGGGGGTTTCAAACGAACTCAAAAAACCCCTTCTAGATCCGCCACTGAAAACATAAGTAAATCTATATGCATTAGGAAAATTATAAAAAGCAGAATTCCATCATTTTTATTTTTGGCCAAATTATTGAGCAATTGCTGACCAAGAAACTGGGCACTAAGCAAAATCCTGTGGAAACCATATATACATGTATATGTAGATACAAAACAATGAAAATGTTAACACAATGTATAACTTACAAACAGGTACATCATGTTATAGATTATTATACAGTGAGACAAGTACCTTTCCTTTACAATGAGTCTAAATGAATGAACTAGCCTCAAAGATATGTACCAGACAGACTCTTTTACCATTTTCCTAACTCACACATCTTGGTGGCTATTCTTATATGGACCTGTAATCTTACTGTATACAGAAATAAAGTATAAATATGACAATCATCATTATTAGGGCAGCAGGTTCGTGGTGGTGCAGTGGGGAAAGCGTGGGGCTGGATGTGATGTGGGCACTGGTTTGAATCTGGTTCAGGCCATGAAAAATATTGCACACGCTCTTTTTATTTTTCTCTTTAAAAATTGAATTTCTTTATCTTTTCTACTTAGCTATGTCCCCTAGTTATGTTGGGAGTCCCCTAGTTCACTATTAGGGTGGTGGTTTTTTAAAGCATCCCTAGTCATTTTAGGAGTCCCCTAGTTATGTTAGGAGTCCCCAAGGTTAGTTTGGGGTTAATTTTTTTATTTTAGAGTGTCCTCTAGGTTTTAAAATGTGCAAATAATCTTGCCATATCAATAGCCACCCACAGTGGGATTAGTCTCGCGCGGCCAGACTCTCCACCCCTTTTTGACTTTTGGACGGCGGGGGGAGAGTCTGGTGGACTGACCTAGATCAACTTGTTCCTAGTAGTGAGGCGTTAATTGGGAAGCCAAACAGGAATAATGGAAAATCGTTGAATAAATAATGTAATTATAAAAGGCGGGTCCAATTTTGCTCACGTGTATCCACGTGTATATGAAATGGCTGGAAAGGAGACATGCTGTCTGTGTTCTAGTGCTGTAAGCCAAGGAACATGGAAGACTAAGAGAAGAAAAGTTACTGGAGAGTCTTCAAAGTTGACAATGAAAGTTTTAGACACATTGTCAAAGCGACTTTACTGTCGAAAGTTCTCCTGCTGCATTAAAGACATCACCAATGCTTACTTTTGCCACAAGTGTAGGTCTCTAGCACAAGGCCTTGCTAACTTAATGACAAAAATGAAATCCACAGAAAATTTGTTGATTCCCATGATTGTTAAACTGTTTGAAAGTATTGATTCTGTATCTGCAATGGAAAGGAAAAGGAAGAACTATGATAATGTGTTGGCCACAAAATCTAGACGAATATCTGGGGAAGTGATAGATGAAATTCAGAGAGAGAATATATTGTTACAGAAGGAGGGAGACAAAGAGGTGATGCAGTTGATGGAAGAGGAAGGGGAACTATTTCATAGAGAAGAGACTCAGTTGTTAGAGGAGGAGGGGGAGAGCGAGGTGATCCTGGTGGTGGAAGGGGAAGGAGAACTACTTCATAGAGAGGAGAGTCAGTTGGAAGAGGAGGAGGGGGAGAGAGAAGCGATGCTGTTGGTGGAAGGGGAAGGAGAACTATTTCATAGAGAAGAGATTCAGTCGTTAGAGGAGGAGGGGAAGAGCGAGGTGATCCTGGTGGTGGAAGGGGAAGGAGAACTACTTCATAGAGAGGAGAGTCAGTTGGAAGAGGAGGAGGGGGAGAGAGAAGTGATGCTGTTGGTGGAAGGGGAAGGAGAACTACTAAATAGAGAAGAGAGTCAGTTGGAAGAGGAGGAGGAGAGAGAGGTGATGCAATTGGTGGAAGGGGAAGGAGAAGTACTTCATATAGAAGAGAGTGAGTTGGAAGAGGAGGAGAGTGAGGTGATGCAGTTTGTGGAAAGGGAAGAAGAAATACTTCAGAGAGAAGAGGTCCCATTGATGGAGGACAGAGAGGTGCTGTCAGACAAGGATGATTCTGAACCAAGTATTTCGGTCAGTAAATGCTAATCTATGTTACTTTTATGATATCCATTTTTAATAGGTGAAGATTAAATGGCCTTCAAAGGAAAGAAACCACATCATTCATACACCCTGGAGAAGGAAGTGTATAAAGCAGTTGACGAGGAAGAATTTTAGGTCATTTTCCACAACTGTCATGTCTTCGTCACACACATCTGATTTATTCATTAAGCAGTTAGCTTCTAAACTGAGAAGTGAAATGAAAGAAATTTCTTCAGAAAATCATAGCTCAATTTTACGAGATTCGCATGACAGTATTCGATTTTTTAAATGGGATCGGCTATTTTGTGAGCTTTCAACAATGATGCCAACCTTAATCAAATTGTTGCTGGCGTTGGTTCGTGATAAAAGTAATACCAAAAGAATCATATTGGTCTGTTTTATTGCTTCAATATTGCTGAAGAAACGATTAGGAAAAATGGCACTACTCCAACGTGCAGTATCTGTTTTACTATATGGAAATGGATGCACAAAACAGGTATGCTGATACACACACTTTTGTCTGGCTAGTGGCTACTATATTCATAAATAGGTTTATAACTGCTTACAACCATTGATGGTTTGCCTTTCACACTCTGGGACCCTTAGGCTTATTGACCGATTATCACAAGAACATGACATTAAAGTTCAGGAGTGGAGTGATAGTTTGAGAAATAATTTAAAAGTAATATTGTAGATGCACTGTTTTGTTATGTATTTGTCTTTGTTGTTACAGCAGCATCAAGTAGATCAGTTTGGCCGTCCATCTAATATTTTACTTTTATCAGAATATGATGATGTTGAAGAAAGTGATTGCATAAATTTAGAAATGACTAATAATGAAGAAGATCAGGAAGATTTAATTGATAGTATGTTAAAAAACTTTATAATGCATTGTTTTATTTTGTTCATAGATGTTGTAGATGAAACAAATGATATGAGAAGCATGGCAAAAGTGATTCATAATCTTGATATTGATGATTGTGTGGATGACATATTGTTGCGTAAGATACATCATACCAACACATGTAATTTTTATACTTAATATTTTTAGAAGAGGCAGTACCTGTTACTAATGTGAGCAGTCAATGTCATGATGAAGTAATCATTGAGGATGGAAGTGTTCAGAACGTAGATCAAATGGATAATGATAGTAGGAAACTTTTATGAACTATAGTAGCTTAATGTGTGGCATACATGTTTAGGTGAAGAATGGCATGGGTTCAAGATTGTTGGAGATAATTTAGATAAGAATTTTAGGCGATCGTTCCAACGAGTGGATAGTCAGACTGTGTCACAACATTACTTTCATATGTATGCAGTAAAGGATCGAGTAGATATGAGCCACCTATCAGAATCGCCTAGTGATGGAGCTATTGATATTGCTAAGTTGCTGCCATTGGAGACAGACCACGAACAAATGACAAAGGAATTCAGCATTTTGATTTCAAGGTATATTTCATTGTACCAAATAAACACTAGTAATAGGTCCATTTCAGATTCCTTGTCCAAAACATGAAAAGGTTTGAAAATAATAAGAAAGATGTTGTTTGGCACATTGACCACAAATATGCAGCAGCAATGAAAGTGAAGTCCACTATTGTGAGTTATTCATGTACAACGAGTGTATGTTCCTATATTGTGCTACACCAAAAAGCCATAATAATATATACTGATGTTTAATGCTAGGTTCCTCTGGGAATAGAGTTTAAAAACGAGAATAAAATTGATGAAATGTCTCAAATCATGGATAACCTGCACAAATATGTACCTACGGTCCAAGTTATACGCAAAGTGTCACTTCCTAATGGTGACACCTTTGAATATAATGATACCAATATGTGGAAGACATTATTTGGTGGGGACCAGCTAACGGTTGCACGAGCTAGAACTGCAGCATATGTCAGAGATGATCATGACATTGCCAGTGACAAACTTCACGGCCTTGTACCAGTTATCGAAGATTGGCATGCTCGAATGACTTTTCTTAAAGTAAGTGGCCACAATTGATTTCCATGTGAATATTATTTGGTATCAGGTTATCTGGAAGCATTTATACACAACACGGTCTGCTTCTGACAGAGGAACCCTTTTTCAACTGAGGAATATATTACATAGAACTTCTGTACCATCAGATCCGCAGGATAATATGAATGCTGTAGAAGACTTTCTTGAAGTGGTGCTTGTAGGACATGTCATTGCTGCAGCTGAGAAAGTGTATGTGGAAGGAATGACAGTTAATGAAGTATCTGAGATGATTGTCAACAAATTTGTAAAGCTTCGTCCTAATGAAAATGCTAAAAGCCAAGGTATGTAATAGTATTTATTATGTTGGAAATAATCATAATTCCTTTTCTGGCGTATATACACTTAGATTCAATTAATGCCTATGCCTGTGAGCTACTAACTCTGAGTTTAATTTGGTTTAACTTTTACGATGGGATCAAGGAAGGTGATGGAGAGAGAATAATACGTATATGGAAGTATTTAATGGTCATATTTCGAAAGAATGGCAATAGGAACTATGCTAAAGAGGCTGCTGCGTTACTGATTAGCTGCAACTTCACTTCATCAGAAAGAATAGCAACACAAACCATTACGAGTCGTTTTGTAAACACAAAAGGACGAGCAGGATGCAACCTTCCTTGTGACCTTCATATGGAACACCTAAACAGGAGGCTAAAGGGTATCATTTCTAAAATGGAGTCCAATGTACATAGATCATCAATTGAACGTGCAGCTAAGGCGATTGGAATAGTGGATGAAATTTGCCGATCTTTTGGAGATGAAATGATGACACACAAGTCTGACAAGCATAAGAAGCCTTCCTATGAGAAGGATCTAAATCTAATACTGGACGTCCTCAGGGAAGATGATGTCTTTAGTGTTATTTCTAACAGAAAACACAAATTTGTAACTGTACAACAATGCATGCTGGAATCAATAAATAATGACAATGTTGCTGATTGGATCATAGATAATATTATTCCGTTATTTATATAAAAAACATCAATAATTATTTTTAGTAACTGAATCCCTACACACATCACAACATGTAGATAAATCTCTTGTTGGTTCCACTTGATCACTGCACAGAAATTGCTTCATTAAATACTCCCTTCGACAAACACTCCTGTTGCTCGCATACTTCTTAACTTTTTCCTCAACATGCCTTCCTGGATTTCCGTATAATAGAATTGCCCTTGATGGAAGATTATCCCTCCCAGCTCGACCAGTTTCTTGTGCATATTGTTCAAGATCTGATGGAGCCCTCCAATGATATATGACACGAACATCACGACAGTCTACTCCCATTCCAAAAGCAGTTGTAGCCAAGACAATCCGAAGTTTACCATGAGTCTCACAAAATGATGCCAGAGTCTTCTCTTTCATTTCTGTCTTTGATGCTCTGGTATACATTCCAATAACGGCAAACTGTTGCAATATGGGATAATTAGGGGGAAATGTAATGCAAGGGCCCAGTTTCAATTTAAGTGTTTGATACATTAAAGCACAATCTCCATATGATTGTAAGAAAATGATTGTTTTAGGATACTCCAATCCTAACTGTTTCAATTCATCAGCAATGAGGCCACAAAATGAACTTAAGTCAGTAATAGGCCTAACTTCATACATTATGTTGTCACGATTTGGAGAGTGGCCAACCAAAACTGGATCATGTAGAGACAAGCGTTGACAAACTGACTTATATGTTGCATTAGTGGCTGTAGCAGTTAGAGCCATAACATTTACTGATGGGGGAAGGAAACTTCTAATATCTCCTAGCTGAGAATATGCGATTCGAAAGCTATCACCCCTATAAATAAAAATTGATAAAATTGCGAGAAAAAACAACTAACCATTTCTTTACGCAGTGTGCTTCGTCAACTACAAAGGCTACTAATTTCTCTTGGTAGACTGGGGAAAGAAGCATATTGCGGTATTGGAAATTACATATGATGCTTTCCGGGCTCATGTAGACAAGTTGAACTTCCCCATTCTTTACACTTCTAATACAGGATGCATCAGTTTGCTCTTCACCTAGAAATTCTGTAATAATTCCTTGTGGGGCAAATTTGGCTTTTTGATCCATCATTAGGCATACTAAGGGACTGATACAGATGACAATACTTCCTCTTTGCTCTAGTAATATATAAATAATTATAATAATACTAATAATCTCTGTATACCTTTGAATAAGTCAAATACTATTGGTAATAAGGCATATATCAACGACTTCCCATACCCAGTGGGTAAAGATACAAATACATCCCTTCCTGATAAAAAGGCCTTGATGGCATCGAACTGTTTGTCCTTCAGAGTGATGTTAAACCGAGTAGCAGCTTGTAAAATACATTCTTTAGCTCTATCCTCCATGTTGACACATGACATTGCCACACCTACTAAAACTAATTATACCTCTTTAATTAGTCTTTATTGCCTGACGTCAGTCACACTGACCAAGCCGACGGTCGCCCTTTGAACAAGTCTATGTTCGTCAGTCCACCAGACTCTCCCCCCGCCGTCCAAAAGTCAAAAAGGGGTGGAGAGTCTGGCCGCGCGAGACTAATATTTAGTGATGAGATCTTTTGTAACATCTAACCAGCCATTCCTTGAACACAACTGAATTAAATTATAAGCTCTTCTAATGTTATTCGGTTCCTTCACTAATGGTAGTAAGCGAACAGCTTCTATATAATCTTCATTCACAAACGCAGTCCAACATTTGTCCTCTAAGGACATCTTGTGATCAGTTAATTAGATTCATTGATACCAGCCCACACACAGAGCAGGAATTCATTAATCATAGTATCACTGGGTTATTGTTTTGGTGGAGCATACAAGAAAAGAATGAACAATGTACTTGAAGTTTGGTTCTTGTTTAACTTATGTATCATGGTTGGCCTATCTGTAGCTCTTGATGAAGATAGCAAAGTATTGATCTGGTACAATACTTGTTTATCTGTTTTTATTTTTAGTTTTATTTTGATTTTTGTTTATCATCTTTACCTGCAGTTATCAAGTATAAAATGTTATGATGCTCTAATTAAGAAGTTATTCAAGAAACAAGATGAAGATGTTACTGATCCACATAAAACTGCATGTTGATCAACAAATGAGAGAAATTGTTCCAAGTTCTACTGATGTTAGACTCAGTAATAATCGTGAATCAGTTGTTGATTTGTTTTAATTATAATCTTTAGTAGTTTTTTCTGCCACATACTTTTACTTTTCTATTTTGTTACTTTAGCAGTAACTATTATAATTAATCTATTCTTCACTTTTTTTAGAATTTTCAGTTCACAGTCTCAGCTTTCATTTTAGTTTTCAGTTTTTCTGCAATAATGATAAAATTATTTCTGTTTTTTTGTTATAGTATTGCCTTTGATTCTTTGGTTTTTAATGATCGCAGATGGGTTTAAGGTGTGCAGCTATGTCAGCAGCTTGTCACATCAGATAAGAAGGGCACTGGTTGCAGTATTCAACCGGGACATAGATATTAGAGTTTCCTTTTCACTCTAAGTAATATCTATGACCGGGGTCCCCAAAGCATAAATTATCATCAGCATACATCAGAGCAGTAATAAAAATGGCATATCATTTATGAAGATAATGAACGGCAGAGTTTTAATTTTTAATTTTTATTTTTACTTATTTTTTATTTTCATATTTTATATCTTTTTCATTTTTAGTTTTATTTATTTATTAATTTTTATTTCTTGTTTATTTTTTTGGATATTTTTTTTATTTTTAATTTTTTTTATTTTTAGTTTATTCATTATTTTTTTAATTTAATTTCTTTTTTATTTTTTTATAAAAGTATTTTAATTTTTACATTTTTTTAATTGTCATCATTAATTTAATTTAAATATTATATGACAAAATGTAAGACGTAGAAATAATAATGATAATTAATAATGATACATTATAATCGTTAATTTTATTTTTATTATACATGATTTTATAAAAACAAGTTAATTTTTAAAATCAGTATTTATAAAAATAAAAAATTATCATTAATACCAAGCCCATCCTCAAAGCTCATGCCTTGCCACACTATCAGCCCTCCTTTCCTACAATGAGAGGTATGAGAGGTAGTAAGAATGTCCCCTTAACCATCACAATTAGGTGGAACATTAATTAATGGTTTCAGGTACCTTAAGCACAGTGCATCCCTAAACTCAAAGGTGGATAGATCAAAACGATCTTTTGGAATGGATAGAGTATTTAGCCATAAATATTAGAGTGGTAATATCTATGATTTAGCCAACCCAATAAGAAATGTTTATTATAAAAATAAAAATAAAAAAAATTAAAGGGGTGAGCTTAAGCAAGCTATATATTATGTGCTGTATGATGTTACATGTAGAGAAAGCAATGAAATTTTACATGTCTGAATACAGTAGATCTTGATGCATGCACTGAGTCACCTTTTAGTTGGTTAAACTGACGTGTATTGTTTCTCCATCACTTCAGAATCTCTGCATGTAGCATTAAAGTTACTTATTTAGATAGTTGGAAGCAACCACTGAAGAAATCACATTCAACAGAAGAAGCTTAGTACAATAGCTAAGCTTTGTCTGTGCATTAAAAATACATTTGTTTGCTTGCCCCAATAGGAGTATACATCATAAGCACATACATTGCATCATACTACATGTACATGTAGCTATACTATTATCGTATTTATAGAATTATCCTACTACATTATAATTAACATACATCAGCAGGTGAACTAATGAGGAGATAATAACTATAATAATATAATGAGATCAGACAACAGAAGAACAGGTACAGTACACACAAGCACACACATACACAAATAGATACAGATGTTTTTTTTTATTTTCTTAATCCTGACATCATTATCTGAAAGTCTTCTTCCAAATCACTCAGTGACTCATCAAGTTCTCCATCTTCTTCCTCCTCCTCCTCTTCTTCCTGTTCTTCATTTGGTGGGCCTAGTTTCTTGTAAATAGCTTTTAATTGTCGTGAGATGGAGGCTTGAGATATCGGTTTAATAGCATTAGCTGTGGCATGCACTGGTTTGACAGGTGGGGGAGGTGGCCTGACCTCCTTCTTAGCCTTTTCATAACGATAGACAAGTTGGTCTGCAGTATCTCTACTAAAGAATGAGAGAATTAGTGTCTTTTAGAAATCATTCTTTGGTTAATTATTAAATGCTTATTAAAAATACTTTGTCTGATTTAGAATCAACCTTGAGCAGTTAGGGTAATTCTAGGTACTAGGCAATTTAGGTACACACCCAAAATTTGAAACCTGAATTAAGATGAATTCTAGTCTGAATCAGCCCTGAGATCAGTCTGAATCATGAATTTTTGGCACTCAGTCACAATACAATAATGAAATCAGGCATGATACAATTATGATAAATATTTATACTACACGTAGTTCAGGCCAGTGCAACAGTGATGATCAATTTGATCACCAATGATGCCTGTCAGGACTGTACCAGTACTGATATCAACTTGATTCATTCATTTTTGGCATTCATTCTGATTCAGCCAAGAAAACTCTTGAGTGTGTATTAGGGTACATGTACATGTAATTTTAGAAACACAAGTTTTAAAAATATGATGTACAGTACATGCATTTACCTCTTTATTGAGAGAATGTCTGGAATGATATGATGAGGTGAAGATGATGGAGAGCTCTGGAATCTCTTCTTGTAGAGAACTGGACTCTTGTAAACTGATGAAGGAGGGACATCATCTTCTTCTTTAGAACAAGAGTGTCTCTCACTGTCTTGAAGACAAGTCTCTCTCTATTTGAAAATTCAAACATTCAAACCATTTAAGAATCATTCAAAATGAGATTAAAATAATACATGTACATGTATATACATAGTACCGTATACGTTCAAATTTTTGAGGGTTCAAAATTTCGTGTTTTCGAATGAAATTTGCTCAAAAGTTAATATTCGTGTGAGCTAATTTTCGTGTTCTGGCCATAGTCTACATACAATAGAATGGCATTAGAGGTGGTTTAAATTTCGTGGATTTAAGGTGAGCACGAAAATAACGAAATTTAATACACCTCGAAAATTAAGACGCGTACGGTAGAAGGCATTGCAATATAACTTCAATATAATTATTATGCAACAACAACTATGCATAACATAATACAATGCACACGTACATGTACATTGTATGTATACTGTATGTACATGTACATGTACAAACGTACCTCTACAGCTTTCAGTTTGTTTCGAAGAGGAGAAGAGTTGAAGGCGTCATCCGCATAGCCTGACTCTGTACCACTCAGTAGCATCCGTAACTGCAACTTCCTTTTAAGAGTGCCAACTCTAGCAGTAATAACTGAAGCAAAGAAAAAGATGTACATGTACATGATACATGTACATTTTGTAATGAAATTTAGTGGCTGGAAATTTTTGCAAATTTTGAAAATTGAACAAAATAATTTTTATAAAAATGAAAAATTTTAAATCGGCTTTTGGGCAAGTTAAAAAATTTCAGGCCATAAAAATATCTCACTATAATATATTAAAAAGAGAGATTTCAGAATTTAAAAATCCTCTTACCTTCATCGGTTCTATCAAGCGAGGGCATCTTCACTTCTGCTAGAGTTGTAGGTCCTCCTCCGACTGACATCAGGTACTGGCTCTGACAGTGCTCCGGTGGTCGCTTCATCTTTCGACCAACCTCCTCCCAAAACTCAGTCACAATCGCTGGAACATTGTACACGGTTCTTCATAGAATAGAAAAACAAATATTAAGAATTGATTATACTGAAGAATCAATTAAGAGTCAAAAGGGTAAAGAAGGAGAAATGCTACACTACAGAATGCATTACAGTATATTCATTAATCGTTACATGTAGATTGTTATGCATTAGTGACATACTCTCTTAGTCTCCTAATGTCAGATTCATTCCAAACGTTAGATTCATTGATAGTATCATCTTCCTTGACCTCAAAATGAACTTTCCTTGAGTTGGGAGTACTCTTTGATAGGGAGTCAGTAAGTTTTGGAGCCTTTAAAGAACTTCTCCTCATTTTAGCAGGTCTTTTACTCGGACTATTGCGACGAGTAGGTCGATCAGTAGTAAGTGAATCTTTTCTTGTTGCCCCATTGTCTGTCTTCAGTGAGAGAGATTGAGAATTCTTACTAGTACAAGGTAGTTGTGGTTTATTATCATTAATCAATGATGCTCCATTTAATTTATTGCCATCTTTGCTACTGATCCGCTTAATTTCTTTAACTCTCTCTAACTTTAATACTGGTACACGATGATTAATGATCGCACTGGTAGAGCTATTGTAGTCACATTTATAAATACAGTCCGGGGTGAGGTCGTAATATGAAGCAAGGTTTTTAAGTCGAGGTTTTATGATACGACCTCTTGATGAACGCTAGGAGGAAAAAAAACATGCAAATAATTAGAATTGTGTACAAAAAAATAATTAAAACACTGCCATTTTTTATTTTAATTATAATTTCCTTACTTACTCGTAGAGGTGATGGAAATACGTTCCAGAATTTCAAGTTGTCGCCTAGTTTATAAAGATAAATCCATTTATACAAAATATCTTAGAAAACTCACTATCTCTTTTTCCTTTTTGACTCCCTTTCCTCTTACCCGCCATTGTTTTGCTATTGTATTTTACCGGGTAAAAACACTGCGCATGCGCAGTAAAAAGGGGCGGGGATTTAATTTAATGCTCCTCCTCTTTGCCAGGAGTGAGACTGATCGATTGGAGATTCTCTCGATTGTGAGCTGTTGTGAAGGAGATAGGGGGACGGGATGTCAGCTCACGACATCAAGATAGTCCGCATTCTCCTAGTTGGAGATTGTAAGTATTACAGTGATGACATTTGTGATAATTATTGTAATTAAAATTAATTTGTAATAATAATAATAATTATTATTATTATAGCTCAGTGTGGAAAGACGTCAATTATACTGGCACTAGTGGGAGAAGAGT